ATTTATAACTGCAAGAGATACCACAATTGAAGCGTTTAACTGAACATAGGCCTTTATTTTAGTTGCGCATGCAACCTTTCTCAAAGGATATATTATATGCATTATTAATTATATTACCCAAATACAGTACGGTAGGCCTAGTTATTTAAAAATTAAATCTCTTAAAGCATATTACTGTAGGAATACAAGGTATGCTGCGCAATGCAAAATAAAGTGGTTCAACACCTAGGCCATGTTCTACAAATATGCAACAATGCGTTATCAAGTATCTAAGATGTAATCAGATAAGATAGTATTATAAATAACTAGAATAATTTTCCTGTTTTCATGGCCAATAGTTCCATTTTTATTGAAATTTTGTATATTTATTCCATTCCACTGACGCCGCATACTATTATATAAAAGATGCTTTCAATTTTCTTTACCTTATAATAATATGGACTGTATGTGTTTCGACAACTTCTTTCCAGGGGATCTTTCAACTGCATAATAAGAATCGTGTACCATAAATTCATTGTCATGGAACAGTACATTGGCTATACTATGGATTATTGCAGTTTGTTTACATCAATTTCCTTGATGTTAACATTGGCCCAGTTACAGTAGGCATATAAACTCCTGCAGTGATATTTCCTGGTTTAGACCAATACATGTAAGCCTATATACCGGTGTGATTTCTTATGTGTAAATGACTTTTTGCCTATACTAGTAAAGAAAGGTATGTAATTATTCTTTCATTGAACATTAAATATTTTATATTGTTATTAATTACCACATTATTACTATAGTTATTATTAGGCCTATAATTATTTATTGTTCTTCATTATAGAATACAAATGCACTTTCACTTGAAAGAGTGCAACTATTTCATTATTTTTTAATTTTAAATACATATATAGCCACCGACTGTTATAACACTAATATTATTATATAATTGTATTTATGTTTAGTTGTTTTTATAAAGCGCTTACTATTGTGGAAGTCGCTATAGAAAATTAATACAAAACCGTAGGCCTATGATGAGAAGTGTACTTTAAAAGAAGATGGCGGAAGAAATGGAAACAATCATGAAAGATGACCCTATGTGGCTGAAAACTGGGATAACAAATGTTAAGTCTTAATAAGATGGTAAAAGGTGGGCCCAAGGTGGAACATTGAATGACCTCTAGATGAACAGGAAAGGGGATGGGGAGGAGTCATTCAAACGTGCAACCATCATAGGCCTATCAACGCATTCTTTCCCAGGCAAACTCTGTTGGGATATTTAGTGAATTGAGGGCATTGCGCATTTCACCTGTATAATTAAAAGGAAAAAAAATTATAGCCTCAAGCCACCAATATTATATGTAACATTTGGGACTGGAAGCATTTTGTCAAGATTATTTTCTTGGTCGGTAGCACAAAATAATCGAAGTTTATTAGACATAATTGAAAAGATCCGTTTATATGCTGTTGTTATCATTTATTATCATTATCACCATCGTCGTGCGTCGCCATCTGGGCCTTCATCCATAATATCGTTATCGTCATCCTCGCCATCATCATCATCATCGTCATCATTTCTATCATCATCATCATTTTTATCATCATCATCATCAGTCTTCCCCAAAATCAATATCTTAAAAATAGATTTGGTGGTTTATAAACAAAATAGGCCTATGTTTGAACATATTTATATCAAGGATCAAGGAATCAATTGCATTTGAGTCTATATCCCAGTTTAAAACAAAAACATAATCCAGAGAGATGATCATCATCAGCATACCAGGTCATTGCTGGCCGATGACCTGAGTCAACTCCATTCTGGTCTATTCTTGGCCATATTTGCCCAGTTTACTGCAAGCTCTTTCTGGACAAGATCACTCCATATTTTGTTTGGACTTACTCCTTTTTTATGGCGTCCATCGATTGTTATAGTTCATGCGAGCTACATAGCCTGCTCACTCCTTTCAGACCCGTGAAATTGTTTTGGCGGTTTAACAAGGATATATTTTCTTTATTACCACATTCAATATACAGCATGCCACAGAACATTATAGATTGAGAAAGGTCTGTCTGAATGAACTTTAAAAAGAATGAGTATATATCAGGGATCTGAGAATTACATTTGGTCTGCAGTATCCGTGTTTGAAATAGTTACTGATATAGGGCGTATAATCCAGAGAGATAGGTACACTGTAAACACAGCGTGGAGGATTTAAACGCAAACCTTCAAGTAATGTTGTCCCGTCCTTGGTTACACGTTTAAAAGCTAAACGTGTTTAGGCCAGGTCTAATGTGTTTAGGTCTCTGATGTGTTTAGAGTTACATGTGTTTAGGTATTTCACATCATGATGTCAAATACCTAAGCACATTTATTTCTAAACCTGTCAAGATTCTAAGCACAGTAGCTAAACACGTAGCTTTTAAACGTGTCACCAAAGACGGGACAACATTGCTTGGAGATTTGTGTTTAAATCCTCCACGCTACTTTTACAGAGTAGTAATTTACTTATCTCGATTATATTCAAACCTGTATTTTCTCATAGTTTAAAAATGTATTTTGAGTATATAATGAAAAAAATATATATATAAAATAATTTTGAAATTAACTTTTAACTCATTTTGCAGTAACATACTAATTATAAACTGGGAGCATAGAAGTTAATGAATTTTAAAAATGTGTACCTAATTTTTTTATCGGATAATGATAAAAAATAATAAAAGCGCTTCTAGCTTTAATTGTCAAAAGCGATAGTGAACTTGCTTCTTGTTTATTAGAGAATAAATATAGATACTTGAATAAATCTTATTTTATTATAATATGTATTGCCTGATCAGAGTCCATAGGTCTGCTACCTTATATTTTGAGTCCCTGAAACTAGGAACTATTATAACAGTTTAAGACGCAATGATTATTGAATATGCACATCGAGATTAGGTCTTTTAATGTTAACTTCCGCAAACGCGGTTACAAAAAACATGTTACTTCCGGGCTTAAACCAGTAAAAACACCGAATAAAACTGTTCTCATTGCTTCAAATTTTTAATTAAATAACCTGTTATATGTCGAATGAAAGGTAGGCTATACTTTATTGTCTTAAATTACTGCCGTTCGTGTATAAAAATAACGATTTATTGAAAAATGTTCTTTTTTTTTTCAAAACGTTCTCTTGTAGAACTATAAAGATGTATTTGCATAGGCTTATTTATAATAATACTGACTAAATAACATTGCAAACGTTGTTGCACCATTGTGTTAACGTACTATCTGACATAATTTAAAGTTGGCGAATGCATCTATGATTTTGTTTACCACAGATGAACGACTATGGTTGTATATGCCGAAATCTAA